GAACTGATTGATTAAAACGATATGAGGACTTTTAACTATAAATAAATTTCGATCATTAAATATCGATTTCCATAGGGCATTCAAGAATCGACTGGATATTAGTCTTCGAAACCCGTTAGCCACTCCATGGCTCCGCTGGAGTATCACCGCCTCGGGAGGAGTGGAGCCGCAATCTTATCGTATATTTCATAATTAAGTTGATTAATACCAATTAATTGCCGTGAGCTTTACATGGCCAATGGCAGGGCCAATCGATTCGGCGCTTTTTTCTTGCCACAAGCCAAGCCGCGTAGAAGCGGACATGTGACTGGCAGCTGCCAAGTGGCATTTGCATTTGCATAAGGTCCGTTGGACAATGCGAAATGCCAATAAATATGGATGGAGGATGAGGTGGTGCCACATCTTTTTTTTTTATTTTTTTGACCCTCGTACTTTAGGCGGCGGCTCAATGGGGATTTTGGTTTCCACCCTCTTGTTGCATGGGCCACAAAGCTCTGGGCCCAACAATGGCCAGTTCCATTTTGGTTACTCGCCCGCAACGCACACAAAAAAACAAAAACCTACAAAAATATAAACAAAATTCGACCAAAAAACCCCAAACAAATTATAAATATTCGAAACAATATTATGCTTGAGAATTAACCCAATTGGAAAGAGTATATAGGAGTACAGATACACCGATGTGACTTAACCAGAGACGTGGTCTTGACACTTATCTGTGAATTTTTCGTCGCGTTACCTTTATACATATATAGCTGCAGATATATATATTTATCACTGGACGCGAGCGGAACTCTTATCAAATCAACTGTTGCCTTATATACGCGATCCGCAATAACGAAATGGGCAAACAAAATCCATTATAATGCCCATACAGCCCAGTTATATATATATATATTGCCAGGCACCGAGTAAACAATGCCGAATATAACTTGGCTAAAACAAACCTGTCGCCGCTCTCCAGTCGCTATCGCCGCAGTCGGAGTCAGTTCCTCCAATCGCCAACTTGAAGATCGTCGTGGAGAAGTCCCTTTTAGCCTCCAGACCCGTGATCTTAATCAGTTTTCTTGGTTGGGGGGTAAATAGCCGGGATTTATTTCAATTTCTGCCTCGGTTTGTCGTCGGTATTTTTTGAAGATCACGGCGGCGACGGGGGTGATCGGCAATGGCAATTAGCGAGCCAACTTCGTGTGGTGAACACCTTCGAAAAACACATGTACAGGAAAAGATATTCCCCCTTGACAAGTGATTGATAATCGTCATACATAACTGCAAACAGAAATAACAAACCAAACGAAAAATTCAAATTTTTGTGGTAATTATTTATTCAGATATTTGCCAGTGAAGTTCACTTCGGTTCACTTGGAAGATTCCACCAACATCCCATAAAAACAATACCCAAAGCTTAATGCCAAGTGAAGTGAATAAAGTGATAATTAAGATATATTTTCCTAGAAGCACACACAGGCACAAGAAGCTATTATTTTGTTTAATTATTTATGCGAAGTTATGCAACTCTCGTCAAAGATCTTAAAGGCAAAAAGGCAATAAGTCGATAAGAAGTTCGCAAAAAAGAAACACATTCAAACATTTATCAACTTTAATTAGTGCTAATCGCAGTGTGCAAAATATAAACACAAAGAAAAAACACTTAAGTAAATAAATATACGACTGAATAAGTGCTAGACTACGTGACTCAAATTATGGCGACTGCAGTTAGAGTTCTTTTCAAAACCTAAATCTGGGATAAGATTTATAGACTTCTCTTCAAGTGATTAAGAAATTGAAGATTATTTTCTCTCTTTAAATAAAGAAATATACTTTAAATAGTACTTTGTCATTAAATAAAGTCACGATTTTAAATGGTATTACTCAGCTTATTGAACTGCACAATAAAGTATTTTTAGACGTGATGTTTTCAAAACAATTTCTGCCACCTGACTTTAAAGACTAATATTTTCCATTTAAAACACCAGCTGTAAAACAAAAACTTGTTGAAATTCAAATGCCCTGCAAAGGGTATTCACAAACACAGCTGCATGTCCGAATCTTGGTAAATTAAACCGAGCAAACAAAAACTTTTTGATAAGACCGAGGCCAAAGTATGAATTGGCCAAGAAACACGTAAAAAGCAAAGAGAGAATGATACGGAAATAACTTTTGGGTCTGATAATACGGAATAGTTTTATGGAGCAGCCAATTATTTGATTTAGTTAGCTGGCAGATTTCAAAAGGATTGGTATTAAACCTAAAAGGTTTCAATAATTCGCGACCGTGCGAGTGTGTGTGTGTGTGTGCTTCTGGATGAAAATGCATCATAATTGAAAATAAAATTTAATTAAATGCGAACTCCGCAGTGCTTTAAGCGCTGGATGCGCCCCTATATCTCTCTGATGGAGCTACCAATCAATCGACCGGGAAGCGGGAACCTGCTGCTGGGTCTCACATCCGTGGTGGGTCTCATCGGTGGAGCCTACCTGCTGCAGTGTGGCGCCCAGTGTCTCATGGGGTGAGTTAATCGAACCGAGATAAGCGAATTAATGCATCCCAATGCTGCTGTCCAATGGTTCAAGTTCGGATACGTGAGCCGAGACCGGGACTCGCACGTGCGGATGCAAACGTAGATGCATTTCGAGCAAGAGATGCAGATACTTGTATGTATATTCAGCTGGAGATAAACACAAATAGAAACCGAAACTGAACTCTCCGGGTTACGTGTCCATCGTTTCGCATGACTTGATTGCGTTTGCGTGTGGGAAATGGCAAGAGAAAGAGCATTTCGCTCAAAAGAAAAATAAAATACAAGAGATTTGACATAATTGTTGCCATTTTTCCAGCTGCCACTTGCCACCGTAGCAAGTCGCAGTTGCAGTTGCTTTCTTTGGGCATCGAGTACGTAGCTTCGCCTTAATTAAGGATTGCGCAATGCAATCCATGGCACCTGTTTCGAATTTATGCTGCACCTGTTGTAATAATACCTGATCGATGGGGTCTGGCCTGGCCTGATCCGTTAGATGTTTCATAACATTGCTGGTCCGTTGACTTTTCACAAATTTGGCGCTAAGAACCATAACCGAAAGAATCTTGAAGAACGGCAAGCGGAAGTCGTTGGCCAACAAAGGGCACGGCCACTTTACTTACTTTCCTCTATTATTCGCATTTAATTTTTTTACCCCCGCTAAAAAGCGTCACGAATTGCCAATAACAATTAAGCGAAGCTAACAACGCCCCCGCATTGTTGTTTGCCTTTCGTCACCATTCAATGGGAAGTTAATTAGGCGTTTTGTTGACAATTTTATTAGCATTACCATTGTATCAGAGGGCCTTACTTCACTTTGAATGGAATTTACTCAACTATAAACATATATTCAGATCTAATCTTCTCAAAAAAAAGTGCCTTAGTAGCTATCTATCCCAGCTTTTAATTGAAATGCATCTTGCCATTTAAAATGGCTAAGAAAAAAGCAGCTAAAGCTGTCGGCAAAACAAGTTGTAAAGTTGTGGAAAGTCTGGCAAATGCAATTAACACTGAACGATGCCGGAGTTGAGATATGCACAGATATTCTCGGTTTTTATTTGCTATTAAAGTAAGAACAAAACGGGTTATGTTATACATGTGGCAAGTGAAAAGCCACAAAAAGTTGAAGCTCTAAGCCAAGCTGGAAAGTGGGTTTAAGGCCAACCTGTGCGAGTTAGAACAATACCAAGTGGTCTGTAAGCCAAAATAATAAAATAATATTTAAACAAAGTTTTCTACACTCATATAAAAATCATTTAGATGTAATTTCAAGCCAATTTTGTGGTTAAAGGTGTGCATAATGTGGTTTAGTTTGCATGCTTTTAGGCTTTCATTTAATATTATTAGTTTTAATAATAGTTTTTTTCTTTAAGATTGCTATACGGGCAAAGAGATAAAGATAAAGGCATTTAAGACCAAGTTTGTTGATGATCTCACTGGAATTATACTCAATAGAACTATCTGAAATTTGTTAAGCTTATATCAATTAAACAATTTTGTGAATTAACTCCTCTCTCAGTCTTGTCTTAATCTTCAACTTCTGAGAAAACATTCTTATCAATGAAGTGTTTGTGAAAGCTGATTTATATTAAGAAAAGAACTGAGATCTTGAGGGCCTGACGCTTTCTCGTGCGGGAATATGCTAATGGGACACATGAGACTTACATATATTAACCCAGATTCTTAGCACAGATTTCAAGGGAATCTCAAGTCACGAAAGAGAGATTCAATCTTCATCACAGGTTCTGTGTTCTCAGGGAAAATACTTCCCCTTGGGACTTTGTGCTGATGAAAGTGTTGCCGGGTTGTGGCGCCGTTTATTACCGAAATTATAATTAAAATAAACTCGAATCCAGTCACCGCTCGATTGATTAGTTAATAAACCGCTCGAAGCATGCATACATTAAATTCGCCAGACAAGAATCGCGGCAACTAGTTTGCGGAATGTTTCTCACAATTAGCATTTGGAAATTAATGAAGTTCAGGCCAAGCGACGTCGAGCGGGTTAAAAATATTGCCAAAAATAAATTAGTAGACAAATGAATGCATGTGCGAATAGTAGTGATGATGATGCTGTCGTCCGATTTCTGAGTATCTGTGTATTCCCCTGTTCCTGTTTGACCAGATCCCCGTCCGTCCTCTCTTGCAGCAGAGAGTGGTCCCAGTCGAAGAAGAAAGGCTATAAATCTGCATGAAAATATGCCCAGTCATGGCTGAGATTCCGCTATATAGTATATATAGAGAGAGATCTGTTCGGATTGGCGAGGGGGGAATACTCGTATATTACGTCATTGACGGGTTGACTGCGAGAGAGCTCCACGCTCTGGATGTGTCTCCCGCTCTCCGATAGCGAAGCGAAAAAAAAACCGGCATGGAGCCTAGTGATATAGTCATAGATATAGAGAGGCTATAGCCACCGATACCCGATCTCAGCTGTTGACCGCCGACTCTCAAAGCCAACTGCGCATAACAAAGGCGAACCTTGTGCGAGAAAGTTGTCAGTGTCGCGGGACGCGGATCGCGAATTGGATTTAGATTTGGATTCGCTATCGAATTGACATTTATGAGCTTCCATTGGCGAAAAGGCGAACGATTCAACGCGAGTGCCATGCCAAGTCCCAGCAAACAGAGCGGAGCCACTCACCCGACAAACACTTCCACAACCTGAGAGCACTGTCACATTGTACCTGGAGCAGGAACATAGGCCCAGCAGCAGCACACACCAATCGGAGATCCAAGGAGATCCGCAGAATGCTGTTTGCCGCCTCGCTCATCTGCCAGGTGGAGCGGCTGATGTGCCTGCCCATTAGCTTTGCGGTGCTGGGATTCCTCTTCATGGCCTGCACCATGGAGGTGGTGCTGCTCAAGATGACCACCAGTGATCCGGTCTTTGGGCGATCTGGCCCAACCGATGACTGGGAGGAGGGTGGTGGCCCGGAGGGCGACGAAGAGCAGATCTACTATGAGAACCTGGAGAATAACTATGAGCACTGGGCACGTCGGAGGATGCGATTCCACCAGCGCCAGCAGCAACGCATCCAGCATCAGCAGCAGCAGCAGCAACAGCTGGTGTCTTAGTATCTATAGAGTCTAGGCTTAATTTAGGCTTAAGACTAGTAGTAAGGGCCTCCGAGTAGGTACACACACTGACTGAGCCTTTCTCTACACCCACTACACCTATTAGTTTCCATGGCGTTTAATGGCGCATACCAATTATTGAAGTGTTTCAAGTGTGTAATGTTTTCGCTCTCTGTTTATGGTTGACATTTTTTTGTGTCTCATTAAATTTATTTGTGTTTTGTTTGTAAGCGAAATTGCGAAATTTGCCATTTGAATAAGTTAGGCAGCTGCGATTGCTCAGTTCAAGCACGTACAAGACACCCAGGAATTCCCTTCTTGGCTCGTCTTGTGTAAGAACTGTAAGTGACTGACATAATCCGAGTGCATATCTCTATCCCTCTAGCCCGTAAGCCGCGTGATACAGCTTCGTACTATATACATTGATACTTGTGTGTTAAGTTGCCCGATACTGATACTGGATACTGATATCGAATACTGGATACCACTGCCTCAGTGAGTTGAATAAACTTGGCTATTAAAGCAACCGAACCATTGATTTTTGTTTGCCTGGTCCAACGGGTTTATCATGTTATGCAATTGGGAGGCGGGAGAGCATTGGTGAAAGTCAATTGCCGCCGACTGCAATTGCAGTTGGGTTTTTGGGCCAAAAAAATAAGCTATTGGAACGGGAAGTGTTTTCACGCTGACGGGGTTCAAAAGTTAGACAACCCCCCGATCGTTAATTAGCTGCTGATTTTTTCAGCTGTTTATTTATCTCGACCTTCTGGCCGTTGATTAACCCCAGCTGTTGGCTAGAACTGACCTGACTAATCGCTTGGGTTTTCGGTGAAACAAACTAAACGTTCTCGGAATAACATCTGTGATATTCTTCCGCCTTTTTCCTTGCAGCAAACTAGCCAATAAGAAGTGGAGGAAGGAGGAGACCAGCGAGGATCACACCTGCAACGTCTGCTGTGCAGACTTGGATCTGAGCAGTGCCAAAACGTGAGTTTAAACAAACACATTCATTACCAGTTAAAGATATTCTAATAAGTTAACCTTTGAGTCAAACACAAAACAAACTTGAAGACCCACTTTCTCCGGTTCTGATTAAAACCAGTTAGTTATTAAAAAAAAATGTTTGTTTGGTATTTCAAAATGGAACAATATAAATCAGACACAAGTCAATGGATAGAAAAGTTTAAGAACCTTTAACAAATGTTTAAATAATTGTCAGGGGAGATTATACTTTTATGATTAACAGTATTTCCACCAACTCCAGACTGCAGTAAGAGGTAGCCAAATGCATCTTATTGATTACCAAGTATGTTTATATTTTATCCTCTTCTTTTCCCAGCTACGTGACATGTCGCACCTGCGGAAAGTCCGTCTGTCGGGGACTCAAGTGCGCCGACTGGCGGCCCAAGGATGCCTCATGGGAGTGCCAACTGTGCCAGAGTACCAAGGAGTCTCTGGCCCACACCTCCTCATGGGTGGCCGAGCAAATGTCCTTCAATCAGCACAAGTTCGTCTATCCGATGAGGGCCAGGAGCGAGGTCTACATACCCATAGTGGGCAACGATGGCAACGACAGCAGTATGCGTAAGGATAAGGCAGTCTATATATAGAGATAAAGGAGATGTATCTTAGATATCCTTGCAGAATTCGAGAGCGTTAGCCAGATTGGACTTCCTGCCAACTCGGATGAGAGGGCCAAGATTCGCGAGTATGTGGAGGAGATTGTGGCCGAAATGCTGGGCGGCAATCTGGACCATATCAAAGTGGGACAGCTGTCCAAGAGCGAGAACTGTAAGTACACAGCGGGTATATTGCCCTAGATTTAATGAGTGCAAAAGTGCAAGGAAATTTTCACAAATTTAATTCAATTGGCTTGGCAACACTTACGAGTCTAGCAACATGTGTCTAAAGAAACTTACTCATGTTGCCGGCCAGACAAAATCAAAACATAAAGCATACTTTCCGGCGAGCTTTCGAACGTGAGAGCTTGCGGGAAAGTCATTTCCATGTCTATCTTTTGTGTCGTTCGCTTTTTAACCAAACAAACTTTGCACACCCCAAACACACACACACACACACACATGATACACACTCCACACACACTTGATTCAAATGCAAATCAGACTTGCAACTCTTCGATAAGTACCATGCCAAGCTGAGTAACCTGCTTATCAATGTGGAGAACAGTTTGTGCGCGCGTGCGCTAAAGGGAGGTAAGTAGTCGGTAATCGATAGTCACTAATCGATCGAGCACGCTGTAATCGTAAAAGTAATCGCCTGCTATTGTATGCTAACTATAATTAATTCTCTTTGGTTAGTAGTTATTTTAGACCTTGACTTGAGCAATGTTCAATTATTTTGAGCAAATAATATTCTTTAATAAATAAATTAGAATACTCTAATTGATATACAAAATATCTGCTCGAATTATATCAATAACTTATTCCAATTAAATCTTAAACCTTTTCCATCACTGTCTGTAAATGTGTCAGTACTTCTCTTAGCCTTGGCATACTTACATTCCTTGATAGGTTGTCATTTTGACCATAAAACGAATCTGTAATCAATGATTGCAGGCTGTAGTAAATGCTAATTCTTATCAGTAAGGCCATAAACTGAGAGTCGAAATAAAATGGCACTCTCTCTCTGCCTCTCTTTTTTATTTTTAAACCTACTGACAAACAATCTGAGAAATCGCGGTCAGTGCTCATTGATAAGACACGATGATAAGGCCTAAAACACAGTGATAAGTTGGCTGGGCCATTGAAGTGCCGCTAGCATTGAGAACATTATGATACAACACCTCTCGAGCACTGGATTTTTGCCTTAACTCAGATGACGGCCTGCGATAGGCATTAATCATACGCACCGTTGCCGCATTGCTCACCAACAGGTTAGCGGGCAGTAAATTGGCTTAAATGTCTTACTTACACGATCACTCAGGCCTCTCAGGGGTTGTGTCTTAACGGCCGATTGATTTGGTCACGCTTACAACTTGGCCAAGCAATTTGAGCAAAGCTTGCTGGCCTGTGAATTACAAAGCCAAACTCCGTGCTCCGGCCAATATTCATCTCAATTGGGCCCACTGTAGGGTCTCCGCCACACACACACACACACGTAGATACGGCGGCATATTAGCTCCGCCGTGTGAGTGAGCGTTTAAACGCTCACCGCTCGGCAATCGCACGGCACCGCTTCAGTTGCCAGAAGCGTCGCGCCGCGATCGTAACGCAGGTTGAATGCTACGGGCCGTGTTTACGGAAATCTTTCGCGATTTTGGCCATTATACGACGCGTGTGATAACAGGGAATCTGACAACATAACTAGAACACACGAACAAGAAGACATTTGGCCAACAGATATAGAAGTAAAATTCCATCTAGCTAGATAAGACCTATAAGTAAACCGCATTGGGTTGTGAGTTATCACCAAACCTTGACCCGGCAAACCCAAGTTTGCGAATATGAAATAGGCAAAAATACAAAATAAAATCAATAATCGTGAGTTGAAACAAAGCGACAGGCGAGGAAGAGGCCTTAATCAACGCTAATAAATATTAATGATCCCCGGAGATTCCCGCTCGGAGCTCTGAATGAATGTGTCTGTAACCGATCCCGAGATTAACAACAAATTATGATCGTGAAGTATCATCATTGTGGACTTTCAGCCCAGCTAATGAAACTACCTGACTGAGCTTTATCTCTGACCTTAACAAAATATAAACCTTTTGGCGTACTAAAACCTTGTGCACCCGAAACTTATCGTAGGCTATATTTAATTGATCAAAGTTGTCGTCGTAATCTGGAGGGGGCATTATCAAAAGGCAGACAGCCAGTCACAGGGCAGGTGTATTAAGTTTTAGTTATTAAAGTGGAAAAAAGCCAGCTCTACTCTGTCTAGTGATAATTGTCCGGGTGATTTCCGCTGAACCCTGAACTTTGGAGTCAGTAGTTAGTCGTCGATGAGAAGTGATCCGGCTGGTTCTGTTCCTAGGCTTCCATCCGTCCAGTTTCTTGAAGCTATTTCCATTGATGACTCGCACAGAAATGTATGTGTCCGATCTGGACACAAAAGTCTCCGGCTTTGACATTTTTTCGCACACCTGAATGACTAACGGGGGGACTAACAATTCAGACAGGTAACCAGGTATATTGCCAGCGGGACTGCAGATAAAGAAATATGGGCGGGCATTGTAACGCAAAATAGATAACTCGGGGTTATTCATTATGCGATGTGGTATTTACCGCAATTCGTTAATAGACTTAGCATGTCAAAAGAAATGATAAATATGCGAACCGTATTTGTTCGTATCGCGATTTTCAGCCTGACTGGAGCTCAGTTTAAAGATCTCCCTCCCTACGATCGCTGGAGCGTGTTTAGGGAGGCGGTGACAAAATTTATGTTCGGAGTTCAATTAGGGGAGACAAAGCGAAAACACAACTCAAATATTAACTCAATATAATTAACAGCTCAGGCGGTCGGTAGGCCGTTATATCAATGAGAGCTCCGGACAAAGCCCAAATGCCAAATACAAATACGAGCTCTCCATTCGGACAGCAACGGCAGCAGACGTAAATAAACAAATAGGCGAGATATCAGCGATTCAGCAAATATCGGGCCCGGTCGCTTACGATATTGGCGAATATACAACTTATACTATATCATATAGATACGTTAATGTGCATGCAGCATGGACTTTACTTTGGGCCTAGTCACGGGCATGTATGCCGTTGTGGCCGTAATTGTCTTTTACGTGGTTTACGTCATTGAGGTGAAATTAGGTATGGCTAAAAAAAAAAAACACTTACATATATACACCCTAGCTCAACACACTCACTCACTTACTTTCTTCACCTTTCACACACTGTCGGCTCACACTCGCTCCATCTCGCCTAGAAGTAACCGAGTTTTCACTTTTTATTGTATCGATCTTTGCTAACCAAGCACATTGTTGCCTGCTGGCATTCTGGCTCTCGTTTTTGCCCTAATCAAGCTACGTACTTTACACCTGCTTTCAGATCTGCCGGCCATCGTGAATGGCCATCGCAATGGCACCGGCAGTGGTAACCATAATAATAATAATAACATAAACAACAATAATAATGGCGACTCCGAGCTGGCGGACATCTCGCAGACCCGACTACGTACCCTCATCGAGACCATCATAGCGGAGACCCTGCGGAGTTCGTCCCTAAGTGCCAGCGGTGCCGTCTCAGAGATCAGTCTGGATACGCGCTCCCAACTGGGAGCCTCGGAGCTGGCCAATGGGAATGGCCTCAAGCGACGCCATCGCACGGAGCACTACTTTGAGCCAAAGATCTACCAGGATCTGCTGGCCACAGCGGTGCTGAATAAGGTAAGACTACAAGATTGTAAGGATACCCCTCCCCTAGACTTCATAAATATGCCTCACTGACCTATGCCCTAGCCACCACCTGTGGTAACAACCCCTTACCCATTGGGGCCGACCATTTTGTAAGCCATGTTCTGGCCACTTCCGCCATTTTCCCCGGCTCACTTCGTTTAGTTTTCGCTTTCATTCGACCTGCACTTGAGCGGCTTCGATTGAGCAGTCACCACATAGTAGAAGCGGACCAGGTTAATTAGTTGCAGTCCATTGTCTCAACCGTGCAGACGTTTTGTCCAACGAACAGTAGCAGTAGCCGCGACAGAGGAAGGAATACTGAAATCAATTCCAGCACTAATTGGATAAATCTATTTAGAAGAAAATCGAAGAAGACTGCCGGAGAAGAATCAATTCAATTCAGGACTATGTCAGATCCAGGGGATAATGTAATAAATATTCACAATGATTTGATAAGCAGCCATCAGCTATGATAACATGTCTTAACTAATCCCATTGGCCTCGTCGGGAATTCAGATCTTATCACGGCGTCACTGATCCAGTCAGCATTTAACAGCCCAATTTTCTAATCATATCGGTTTCTGCAACGTGGCCAGTAATTGCCTCTGTCACGACACTCAATCAATACGAAGAGCTCACCCTGGCAATCGATGACGTCGCCCCGCAGAATGAATAGCCGAGAAACGGTCGTCAAGAGTCGTCGAGTGGCCAGCTACAGAAATGGATAGATACCCATCGTAGTGCCGGGTCTAATCTGCTTAAGGGCTTTCCGCTTTCGGTGTCACAAACAATCAGTTGACCCACAACAAATCGCAAACTCTGGGGTTCAACAACACTTTTATTGCACAATGCCAAGGCCGATGGGCTGACACAAGTTTCTGTCGTTTGTCTCTTTTGCAGATTGCGGATAAGGAAGGGAATACAAGGCTTTTGGCGGAGAGCACGCCGGACTTGAGTGGTCGCCACATTGACGAGAATTTCAATGCCGAGGCGCTGAGCACCACGTCCGGAAGTTCCATAGAACCGCGCAGCGATTCCAGCCTAACTGATCATGAAATCGTACTGGATGTAAGCATTTTCCAAGAAGGAGTATGTAATTTCTCATTAATCTTGTACAATTTCTTTATAGAATGGCAAATCCCAATCCCTGCAGGCCGATTTGGAGAGGGAATCTGTCCTTAGTGATTATATAGCCGCGCACATGGTGCCATTACCTGACTTTTCAGCATCCGTCACCGAGTCCGAGGATGGTAAGTTCATGCATAAAATGCTTAACCGTCAATTTCTAATGAACTTTAATTATAATTGTTTCCAGACATTGGATCCATCTCCTCGAGCATGATCGGTGACGGTAACTGGGAGGACAACTGGCTCTTCAAGAAGAAGAGGAGCTCGGTAACTCCAAGCAGCACTGGCATGCTAGTGCCGGCACCCAAAGAGAATATCCGGGCCCAGATTGGTGACAAGACCGCTGACGAGGTTAGCGATCTGTCCGAGATGGGCTCGGATGCCGAGGACAGTTCTCTGGATCTGTTGCGCAGCAACGACCTTAATGACCGCCTTCTAAGCAAACACCTGATTGGTGGTCAGAACACAAAGCTTGTCCTGGACGAGCTTGTGGATCGCACCAGTCTCACATCCCACACATTGCCAGAGGAGCACGAGCCGGCATTTACAGAGACAACTAACGCATTTGTGGTGTCTCCACCAGCCGTGCCAGCCGTGCCAGCCGTGCCACCACCTCCTATGATATTCCAGGATGATTCTTTGAATGAGGAGTTAACCCACACTCCCATAGCAGGTAACTTTCGTCACCCAATTTCTGTGTACCTTTAAGCATTATATATCATTTTTACTGCTAAGACTTGAGTTAACCCTTAACCCTCAGACCATTAACTTTTAGCCCTAAGCCCTTTTAGATAATTGAAACCGTCCTTTATGTAGACACTCCGGAGTCCCCCATTTAGTAGCTCAATCAGCCACCTTGTGCGTGATCTTAAAGCATCGCCACTTAGCAGTCGTTTGTGTTACAGCCCAAGCCGAAAACGAGGAGCTTTCCAGCCTCGATGGCTGCACTGGTTTCAGCACAGTCGAGTATATCGACGAAGAGCAAATGCACGAGAATGTGCCATCGGTTATTGAGATCCTGGCTGCCATGGCCCTGGGACCGATGCTAGCAGTTCCAGCCTCGGAACAGCCAGGCGCAATGACACCCAGTGAGATGCATACCCTCAAGGAGCTCAGTGATCTAGCCCTCGCCGAGATAAACGCTCGCACAATGGATCTGGTGCATCATCACTCGCTGGACATAATTGAAGAGGAGAATACCGATCCCGCAGAGACTGCTCAATATTCTTCAGTAGCATCCTCAGCGTTTGAAGCCGTTTCAGAGTCTTATTCCCTGGGCGGGGAACTGCCAGAAAGCGTTAAAGACAGTACAGAGAACGGATCAATTATTGTTGTGGATCCACCAATCGCGCCGCCTAATCTTGAACTTTCACTGGAAACGGGAGCCACACCATCTCCTGATGTTGCAGCAGTCGAAATTATTCCTGAAACACAAACAACCGATCCTGCGGCGCCATTAGAGATTACACAGGATGTGGATGCACCTGCTGAAATCCTTCCCGATTCACAAGCTGCCAATGTGAAGCCATCAGCGACAGAGGAAACTATTCCTCAAGAAGAAATAGTTGCTGTAGAATCTGTGGCAGCCATCGAAATTATTCCTGAAACACAAACAGTCGATCCTGCGGCGCCATTAGAGATTGCACCGGATGTGGAGCCACCTGCAGCTGCCGAAATCCTTCTCGAATCACAATCTGCCAATGTGGAGCCATCAGCGACAGAAGAATCTATTCCTCAAGGAGAAATAGTTGCTGTAGAATCTGTGGCAGCCATCGAAATTATTCCTGAAACACAAACAGTGGATCCTGCGGCGCCATTAGAGATTGCACCGGATGTGGAACCACCTGCAGCTGCTGAAATCCCTTCCGAATCACAATCTGCCAATGTGGAGCCATCAGCGACAGAAGAATCTATTCCTCAAGAAGAAATAGTTGCTGTAGAATCTGTGGCAGCCATCGAAATTATTCCTGAAACACAAACAGTCGATCCTGCGGCGCCATTAGAGATTGCACCGGATGTGGAACCACCTGCAGCTGCTGAAATCCCTTCCGAATCACAATCTGCCAATGTGGAGCCATCAGCGACAGAAGAATCTATTCCTCAAGGAGAAATAGTTGCTGTAGAATCTGTGGCAGCCATCGAAATTATTCCTGAAACACAAACAGTCGATCCTGCGGCGCCATTAGAGATTGCACCTGATGTGGAACCACCAGCACCTGCTGAAATCCTTCCCGAATCACAATCTGCCAATGTGGAGCCATCAGCGACAGAAGAATCTATTCCTCAAGGAGAAATAGTTGCTGTAGAATCTGTGGCAGCCATCGAAATTATTCCTGAAACACAAACAGTGGATCCTGCGGCGCCATTAGAGATTGCACCGGATGTGGAACCACCTGCAGCTGCTGAAATCCCTTCCGAATCACAATCTGCCAATGTGGAGCCATCAGCGACAGAAGAATCTATTCCTCAAGGAGAAACAGTTGCTGTAGAATCTGTGGCAGCCATCGAAATTATTCCTGAAACACAAACAGTGGATCCTGCGGCGCCATTAGAGATTGCAACTGATGTGGAACCACCTGCAGCTGCCGAAATCCTTTCCGAATCACAATCTGCCAATGTGGAGCCATCAGCGATAGAGGAAACTATTCCTCAAGGAGAAATAGTTGCTGTAGAATCTGTGGCAGCCATCGAAATTATTCCTGAAACACAAACAGTCGATCCTGCGGCGCCATTAGAGATTGCACCTGATGTGGAACCACCTGCAGCTGCTGAAATCCTTTCCGAATCACAAGTTGCCAATGTGGAGCCATCAGCGATAGAGGAATCTATTCCTCAAGGAGAAATAGTTGCTGTAGAATCTGTGGCAGCCATCGAAATTATTCCTGAAACACAAACAGTCGATCCTGCGGCGCCATTAGAGATTGCACCTGATGTGGAACCACCAGCACCTGCTGAAATCCCTCCCGAATCACAATCTGCCCATGTGGAGCCTGCAGCGATAGAGGAAACTATTCCTCAAGAAGAAATAGTTGCAGTAGAATCTGTGGCAGCCATCGAAATTATTCCTGAAACACAAACAGTCGATCCTGCGGCGCCATTAGAGATTGCACCTGATGTGGAACCACCTGCAGCTGCTGAAATCCTTCCCGAATCACAATCTGCCAATGTGGAGCCATCAGCGACAGAAGAATCTATTCCTCAAGGAGAAATAGTTGCTGTAGAATCTGTGGTAGCCATCGAAATTATTCCTGAAACACAAACAGTTGATCCTGCGGCGCCATTAGAGATTGCACCTGATGTGGAACCACCTGCACCTGCTGAAATCCCTCCCGAATCACAATCTGCCCATGTGGAGCCTGCAGCGATAGAGGAAACTATTCCTCAAGAAGAAATAGTTGCTGTAGAATCTGTGGCAGCCATCGAAATTATTCCTGAAACACAAACAGTCGATCCTGCGGCGCCATTAGAGATTGCACCTGATGTGGAGCCACCAGCACCTGCTGAAATCCTTCCCGAATCACAAGTTGCCAATGTGGAGCCATCAGCGACAGAAGAATCTATTCCTCAAGGAGAAATAGTTGCTGTAGAATCTGTGGCAGCCATCGAAATTATTCCTGAAACACAAACAGTCGATCCTGCGGCGCCATTAGAGATTGCACCTGATGTGGAACCACCTGCACCTGCTGAAATCCTTCCCGAATCACAATCTGCCAATGTGGAGCCATCAGCGACAGAAGAATCTATTCCTCAAGGAGAAATAGTTGCTGTAGAATCTGTGGCAGCCATCGAAATTATTCCTGAAACACAAACAGTCGATCCTGCGGCGCCATTAGAGATTGCACCTGATGTGGAGCCACCTGCAGCTGCCGAAATCCTTCCCGAATCACCAGCTTCCCATGTGGAGCCTGCAGCGATAGAGGAAACTATTCCTCAAGAAGAAATAGTTGCTGTAGAATCTGTGGCAGCCATCGAAATTATTCCTGAAACACAAACAGTCGATCCTGCGGCGCCATTAGAGATTGCACCTGATGTGGAGCCACCTGCAGCTGCCGAAATCCTTCCCGAATCACCAGCTTCCCATGTGGAGCCTGCAGCGATAGAGGAAACTATTCCTCAAGGAGATATAGTTGCTGTAGAATCTGTGGCAGCCAACGAAATTATTCCTGAAACACAAACAGTCGATCCTGCGGCGCCATTAGAGATTGCACCTGATGTGGAACCACCAGCACCTGCTGAAATCCTTCCCGAATCACAAGTTGCCAATGTGGAGCCATCAGCGACAGAAGAATCTATTCCTCAAGGAGAAATAGTTGCTGTAGAATCTGTGGCAGCCATCGAAATTATTCCTGAAACACAAACAGTCGATCCTGCGGCGCCATTAGAGATTGCACCTGATGTGGAGCCACCTGCAGCTGCCGAAATCCTTCCCGAATCACCAGCTTCCCATGTGGAGCCATCAGCAACAGAAGAATCTATTCCTCAAGGAGATATAGTTGCTGTAGAATCTGTGGCAGCCATCGAAATTATTCCTGAAACACAAACAGTCGATCCTGCGGCGCCATTAGAGATTGCACCTGATGTGGAACCACCAGCACCTGCTGAAATCCTTCCCGAATCACAATCTGCCCATGTGGAGCCTGCAGCGATAGAGGAAACTATTCCTCAAGAAGAAATAGTTGCTGTAGAATCTGTGGCAGCCATCGAAATTATTCCTGAAACACAAACAGTCGATCCTGCGGCGCCATTAGAGATTGCACCGGATGTGGAACCACCTGCAGCTGCCGAAATCCTTCTCGAATCACAATCTGCCAATGTGGAGCCATCAGCGACAGAAGAATCTATTCCTCAAGGAGAAATAGTTGCTGTAGAATCTGTGGCAGCCAACGAAATTATTCCTGAAACACAAACAGTCGATCCTGCGGCGCCATTAGAGATTGCACCGGATGTGGAACCACCTGCAGCTGCCGAAATCCTTCCCGAATCACCAGCTTCCCATGTGGAGCCTGCAGCGATAGAGGAAACTATTCCTCAAGGAGAAATAGTTGCTGTAGAATCTGTGGCAGCCAACGAAATTATTCCTGAAACACAAACAGTCGATCCTGCGGCGCCATTAGAGATTTCACCGGATGTGGAGCCACCTGCAGCTGCCGAAATCCTTCTCGAATCACAATCTGCCAATGTGGAGCCATCAGCAACAGAAGAATCTATTCCTCAAGAAGAAATAGTTGCAGTAGAATCTGTGGCAGCCAACGAAATTATTCCTGAAACACAAACAGTCGATCCTGCGGCGCCATTAGAGATTGCACCTGATGTGGAGCCACCTGCAGCTGCCGAAATACTTCCCGAATCACCAGCTTCCCATGTGGAGCCATCAGCAACAGAAGAATCTATTCCTCAAGGAGATATAGTTGCTGTAGAATCTGTGGCAGCCATCGAAATTATTCCTGAAACACAAACAGTCGATCCTGCGGCGCCATTAGAGATTGCACCTGATGTGGAACCACCAGCACCTGCTGAAATCCTTCCCGAATCACAATCTGCCCATGTGGAGCCTGCAGCGATAGAGGAAACTATTCCTCAAGAAGAAATAGTTGCTGTAGAATCTGTGGCAGCCATCGAAATTATTCCTGAAACACAAACAGTCGATCCTGCGGCGCCATTAGAGATTGCACCGGATGTGGAACCACCTGCAGCTGCCGAAATCCTTCTCGAATCACAATCTGCCAATGTGGAGCCATCAGCGACAGAAGAATCTATTCCTCAAGGAGAAATAGTTGCTGTAGAATCTGTGGCAGCCAACGAAATTATTCCTGAAACACAAACAGTCGATCCTGCGGCGCCATTAGAGATTGCACCGGATGTGGAACCACCTGCAGCTGCCGAAATCCTTCCCGAATCACCAGCTTCCCATGTGGAGCCTGCAGCGATAGAGGAAACTATTCCTCAAGGAGAAATAGTTGCTGTAGAATCTGTGGCAGCCAACGAAATTATTCCTGAAACACAAACAGTCGATCCTGCGGCGCCATTAGAGATTGCACCTGATGTGCAACCACCAGCACCTGCTGAAATCCTTCCCGAATCACAATCTGCCCATGTGGAGCCTGCAGCGATAGAGGAAACTATTCCTCAAGGAGAAATAGTTGCTGTAGAATCTGTGGCAGCCAACGAAATTATTCCTGAAACACAAACAGTCGATCCTGCGGCGCCATTAGAGATTTCACCGGATGTGGAGCCACCTGCAGCTGCCGAAATCCTTCTCGAATCACAATCTGCCAATGTGGAGCCATCAGCGACAGGAGAATCTATTCCTCAAGGAGAAATAGTTGCTGTAGAATCTGTGGCAGCCATCGAAATTATTCCTGAAACACAAACAGTCGATCCTGCGGCGCCATTAGAGATTTCACCGGATGTGGAGCCACCTGCAGCTGCCGAAATCCTTCTCGAATCACAATCTGCCAATGTGGAGCCATCAGCGACAGAAGAATCTATTCCTCAAGGAGAAATAGTTGCTGTAGAATCTGTGATCGATCCTGCGGCGCCGTTAGAGATTGCACCGGATATGGAACCTCCTGCAGCTGCTGAAATCCTTCCCGAATCACAAGCTGCCAATGTGGAGCCTGCAGCGACAGAAGAATCTATTCCTCAAGGAGAAATAGTTGCTGTAGAATCTGTGCCACCCGCGGAAGATACTATTGAGGAAGCTCAATTAGGTAAAGTTGTTTCTGAAGCACAATCTATAGTAGGGGTTCCGCAAAATGAATCTGTCATCGAGGATTCTCACGCGATACGCCAGCCTGTTTGTGAAACATCGCAGCTTGAGAAAGAATTTTTCGCTATGAAAACTGATCCAGAAACACAAACCATCGAAGTGGATGCAGAACTTTTGCCATCTGAACCGCTCTCAAACAATCAACAGATAACCAGTACAAACGAGCAGTTGCCAAAAAAAGATACAATGGAGCCGGAAAAACCTGTAGTTGAGCCTGCTTTAGAAAGGAATGCATCTTTAGAGTCCTTGAAGAGCGACTGCTCCGCTCTAGGTAAAACGTCTCAGAAGTGCTTACGAAGACAGCCAAATATTCCCGACACAACACCGAGCGATGGAAACTCACCTGTGAAATCCGATCCTTTGAATCTCTTGGGAACCATTTGCAAGTTTTACATAAAAGACAAAAGACTGCTGGCCACAATCGAACGCAGGCGACGCCGCTCTTTGATCATGCACAAGTACCTTAGTTCCTTTGACTCCATGGAAGATAGCATAGACGATGAAACCCATCCCAGCATTTTTGAAGAACTAAACGAAGATAGCTTAACATCTTATAGCGAGTTGCAACCCCCAAGCGAAAGAGCAGCAACTCCAGTTTCTGATACTGAACCATTAGATACATTTGAGACTGAAGCCGACTTGCCAGAAAATGTTAGGGTAGGCGCTGAAGAGCCCTATCCAGAGAACCATCCGGAATCTCATTCAATTCATAATTTAGAATCTGAAGCTAAGGCGGTTAGGGAACCCCATATAGATAAGGATAGATCGCATCATTTTACTAGTATGAACGATAAGCTTGATTCGCATTTAAATCATTTAGAAGATGATGTCACCGAAAGTGATTATTCTGCAGCCACCGTTAGATTAGATATGGCCAGCCAAACTTCCTGTGATATGTCTTATGAACAAGATGTAGAGACTGACTCCCGCATTGTGTTTAGTTTGAGTGACATTACCTATAATTTTATCAATGAAATTCTCTTCTCAGATCAATTAAGTACAGAGTCGCATTATAGCGACGACAGTGAACCCTCCACCGCCTGTGAGACCTTCAACGGAGACGGTGACATAGAGCAGGAGTTTGTTAGTCAAACGGTTTTAGTCCTGGACGAGCATCGGTCCTCGAGTACTAACACTAACTCTAACAGCACTCTGCACTCTAACTTGCATCTTCCCCTAACCCAAACTAACAACATCCCCTCGGGTAGCAGACGCACTAACGGAAAACTAACAAATGGTTCCCTAAAATGGTCCGGTAGCTGCACCACCGAACTGTCAATCGGTGGCTCTGTGGCTGCCCATCAGGACGGTGTTGCCGCCGAAGATGATGATGTTGTACTCTTGCGGCGCTTTGTGCCAGGTAACACACGGTTGTGGCCATAAATGTCATCACTCGGTGTCTGTTGTCCTCCCTGTTTCCTCTGGTTTGCTAAATTGTGTCTATGTTAGCCTGGCTCTACTGACCGCTGTGTGTTGTGTAACCCAATCCATCTAACGTTTTGGTGGGTCGTTCCTAAGGGGCGAAAATAAATCTTTGGATCGATACAGGTTTTCAAACGAATACATTCCCAAGTTTAAAAGTTAAACCATAAGATTGTGCAAAAGAAAAACCAAAAATTCCTTATATATTTTGTTATATCTATTCAGAGATTCTGATTTAACTTAAATACACACTTGCTTTATAAATTCTACAGATTTTACAAAAATACTATTAACCGATTTTAAAAATTGAAATAAACTTTGTTATTCTGATATGATACTCAATGAAAATTAAAGAAATTTAATGGTTTTTCTTTTAAATTTGGGAGGTATAACTTGGTCCACTGATTACCATTCGCTCCTGGGAGTTGATAGCTTTATAATACTCCATTTAGAGTTTGTATTACATTCCTCCCTGAAATCATTTGCAGGTTCCATTGCGGAGCGTGAGGTGAAGAAATGGTACAATGCCGTCGAGATGCCGAATAACCCATACGCTCCCGAGGCCCTGAAGCAGCGCATCAGTGGTACCCAGGAGCGGTACATGGATGTGCCAAATATCAGTCCCAGTGCAGAGCAGAAGGCTCTAGCCTCGGCACTCACGGAAAACACGGATCCGCCATCGCCCCAAACGGATTACAAGCGGTTGGTGGTCTAATCTCTTTATCTAATTAACTCTATTTTACCTTCCACTTTATCCACCAGGTACAGCCGCGATTACTACATCAATAATGCCCCTAAAGACAGCACGGGAAGTGTGAGATCCCCAGCATCCAACTCCTTTGTGGATCAGCAGCGAAGTGCTGCTGAGGACGTCGAGGACATCGTGATCAACGAGGTAAATCAAGAACCAGAACCACTTCTACCGCATGGCCGCATTTCAAGTAGCGCTCAGAGTAACGTTGCCGACCTCTCTCATTGGACCCTTTCGACGCCAGTGCGCCGTAGCAGCTCGCTTAAGTTCATTAACAGCCGCCCCTCTCCCCGTACCTCTGCCTCCACCGCCCCCCACTCATTGGCTTACGAAAGGTCAGCGACCCTTGAACGACCCTCCACCTCGGCCTCCCATTACCGGGAGTCGGGTCTGGGCGACGACATAGACGATGACTTTGACGTGAGGTCACAGCGCTCCTGGCGGAGCAGCTACAGTTCACTGCCCAAGCGGCACACGCAGTCCAGCCTGAGTCTCCACAGCAATGGAAGTGGGATGTCCTTTGGTTCGTCCGTGTCGAAGCGGCGTCAGGCGGTGGGTGGAGGGGGACCCTCCGCCGTTGTCCTGACCCAGTTCGAAAAGCAACTGCTGCACAAGGACCTCAAGCGGAACAGTTTCCGAGCGGTTTCCTCCACCTCCAAGGACTTTGTGATGAATCCGCTGTTCGAGAGCGAGGCTCTGGGCGGGAAGCTGACACTCCGTCCGGAAACGGAGGACCAGGGCGACTCGGGGGTGGACAGCTGCCTGAACGGCTTCAGCGGTGCGGACGCCAAGTATAGCAACAATAGTCTGCTCTTCTAGATATTAGCTGATGGGGAACGGGAACCAGCGGGGCCTTAGCCCTAGCCTGGAGGGATATTTGCCAAATCACGCTTAGCATAGTCAAAACAGAAGTTAAACACTAGTCAGTATAGCAAAGCCAATTTCCTTGTACATAGAAACGAGATGGGCAGGGGCGGGAACAATAAACTAAAACAAAAAGCACAACGAATCTCCCGCACTGGACGGAGATCTGATGGCCAGGACCGAGTCCTGGCCCAGATCTATCCACTGCACCACCACTTGCACCTACAACCAACCAACCAGCCAAACCAAGCGGCAACAACAAGCTAACTTTGCATTTTTACCAACGAGAGTGTCGAGCTAGTGTTTTAATTGTAATTTAGAAAATACTATATACTTGCGTAATGCTAATGCTACGTTTGTTTTTAATATTCATTATCTTGCTGTTAATTTTACAAACACACAAAATTATATATTAATTCCTGTACCGTATCTGTATGCACTCCGCTAATGCTCTTTTCTTATAAACAACCATACACGTATGCCTAGCGATATCTTTTATGCATTAATTCCAAATAAAGCCAAACGTTAAACAAATCGAACACTGAACCGCAGAAACAAATGTTTTTAGTATCGTATCCATCCAAGAACCCATCGAATTGGTGAGTACAGAATCGGGAATTAACCGAAATAGTGAACTTTGTGTTTGGGGTTGCTTTGGATTTGACTAACAGCATTTGTTTCGAGATCATTGCCGACGATCGTTACTGTGTAACTATAATTAATAATTCGCCTGCATGCTGCTGCCTGAGCGTTGTCACCCACCACATCACACACACTTGACCACACACACCTACACCTACACTAATAATTTTGTACTAAAAACACTTCTTCTTTTCATTTAAACCCTAACCGTTACTATCCTGCACTAACCAACAAAACAACACACAAAACGAAACACCTACAAACAATCAAAAACAACCTACTACCAAATCGAAAATGTTTAATCAAAAGGCTCAAAAAGCAAGCCAGGCTGCCACAGAGCAGGAACAGCCACTGGAATCGGTGTATAAAGCCTTGCCAGTTCAGGTCCTGGACGAGTCCTTGGACTCCCAGTCGAATCTCTCGTTACACTCGCTGCAAACGACAACCACCACAACCAGCGATGAGTCCGACACGGTGCGCATCTACGATTTTAATAAGCAGGAGACGACGGTTATCAGAGCTGCTCCATCCTCGGAGCAGCCTCAGCCTCCCAGCAGCACCCCCACATCGTCCATGGAGTCCGCGCAGAGTGCTTCGGCTTCTGTGTCCTCCATCGATTCATCAGTCTCGAAGAAACGGGAGCGCCCTGTGGTCCTTCAGTTTGGACCGGGTGACTCGGCGCCCACCGTAGGTTCCCCTGCGAGTACACCCACCCGGGGATCCACACCTCCAGCTTTCAGATTTTTGCAGCCCAAACGCCGCCTCATCGATCCCAGTCAGGTTCTATCTGTTGACGAAGATGATGTGGTGAGTGTGTGGCCAGTGCACGAGTCGAAGCGTTAGGTAATCCACGTTATCTCCTCTCATCAGCCTGAACCAACCACTCCTGCGGCGGAGAGACCAGTCATCGAAGTTGAATTGGGTCATGCCATGCCATCTGTGAAGGCTCTGGCCCAGGCCTTCCTCCTGACCAGCAAGCACACGCAACCCCAGCGCAGATGGCGGCAGGTGAGAGTTAAAAGTGAAATGTAGCTTAAGTCCAGAATATGAAATGGTTACCATGCTGCAGGTGAGATTAGCTGCCCCGCCAGATGCACCCAATAAGCCAGGCACGTCACTGCCGAAGCGTCACAGACTGGAGCATGCCGTTTCTATGGCTGAGGTAGCAGATGAATCCACAATTGCCTCGGACCTGTCATCCCTCGAAACGTATGTCCTCAAAGTCTTTTAAGTGTGATTACAAAAATATATTTAATTACAGAGATCCATCATTACAATCCGAGGGCAATCCACCCATAGCCTCGCCAGCGAGTCCTGTGCCCGTCCGGCACGGCTTCCTGCGAAGCAATATTGCTTTCTTTGAGAATTTAAAGTTCAAGTGAATATGCGAATGGGGGCTTAAGTGGGGTGTGCATACATTTGTTGATTTTCCCGGAGTGGGAAAATTCACGATAATGGAGAGGCACACCCATCCCAAAACTGAAACCAAAACTTCGCCAAATACCAAGTGCCATGGATGGCCTCCATTCCCCAGACCGAAATTATCACACACAACAAAGTACTTAACTTCAATCGGCACCAAGTGTGTGCCATTCGTTAATTTTAGTCCGTATTTACTTTAACGTATATCTAATATCCATGGATACTATTTATTTAGCTCTAAGATATGTATTATGTACTTGTTAGGCGTAAGCGAACAATGCTACATTTCACCCGTGTACTAGTTTAAATGTTACATAATTGTAATCAATAAAATATATAGAAAAGTATATATTTCGGGGGTTTTACAGCTACGCGAATTCACAACACAATCGGATCTTAGGCTGGTTCATAAGTTAGTTTGGTTTGGCCAACAGTGATGTCGAGCATACATAGCTTAAACATTTCCTATGCTATGTGGAAGCACCCAAATCGTAGTTATTTAGAATAGTACAGAGTACAGTGCAATGAGTTCTTATTATTTCGACAATAGTCCGTTTATAAATGTCTACGTTTAGATATAAAAATAAATTCCATCGTCCGAGCTGCATTTTAAATGCGAGACAGACTAAGCTGAAGATTGTGAGACAGTGAGAGGTTGAGGAGTTGCCGGTACATTTGGAATGATGATCACTTCGGGTGTAGGCATTAACCATTAGAGGCCGGCCACCAAGCTACTGGGGGCTGTGATTATGGTGCGGATGCTCCGCCAGGTATATGACGTACACCAGCGGTATGACGACGCACAGGGCGAGTATGAAGATCAGCAGACAGATCCAGGACAAGTCGCAGTCGGACCCGGACCAGTCGATGGCACTCAGCGAGGGTCCTGGAATGGGACGTACCAATGGAGCATGTCTGTCCACCAGCAGACCAACAGTTTCCTCGAACGGCTGCTCCATATTAGCTGGGGATAAAGTTTCATGATTAATACTTTCATCCAAAGCGAAATCTTTAAGTTGACAGTGTATGGAGGTATATTTCTATCGTTTTATTTAATGAATTGCCAGCTGCAGGATGTTTTACAGTTTCTCTCGCAGAAGATACAAAGTAGTGCCGGTAAATATAAACTTAATTGTAGGTCATATAGCGGGGGTGGCGCTAAACTTGGCGTAGCTCTTGATAACCTTGTTGACGGCCTCCAGGAAGTCCTTCTCGGTGGCCACCTTGCGGCGTGCCCGAATGGCGAACATGCCGGCTTCCGTGCACACCGAACGGATCTCGGCACCAGTGGAGTTGGGACAGAGACGAGCAAGCAGATCGAAGCGAATGTCGCGCTCCACGGACATGGAGCGGGCGTGGATCTTGAAGATGTGCGAACGGCCATCCTGATCCGGCAGACCAAACTCCACCTTTCGGTCCAGACGACCGGGACGCATAAGCGCCGGGTCCAGGGTATCGGGTCTGTTCGTGGCCATAAGCACCTTGATGTTGCCACGCGGATCAAAGCCGTCCAGCTGGTTAATTAGTTCCAACATGGTGCGCTGCACCTCGTTATCACCACCGGCACCATCATCGAAACGCGCACCACCGATGGCGTCGATTTCGTCGAAGAAGATAAGACATGCTTTCTTGGAGCGAGCCATCTCGAACAGCTCACGCACCATACGAGCACCTTCGCCCACGTACTTCTGCACCAGCTCGGAGCCGATGACACGGATGAAGCAGGCGTCCGTACGATTGGCGACGGCACGGGCACACAGGGTCTTGCCAGTGCCAGGGGGACCGAACAGCAGCACTCCCTTGGGTGGCTCAATGCCCAGGTTGACGAACTTCTCCGGATGCAGGAGCGGCGTCTCTACCACTTCACGCAGCTTCTCAATCTGCTCCTTGCAACCGCCCACGTCGCTGTAGGTAACATCCGGCTTGTCCTCGACCTGCATCATGGTCACCGTAGGATCGATCTTCGGCGGCAGTGGAATATGAATCTGATACTTGTTGCGGTCGACACCAACGCGCATTCCCTCCTCGATGTCGGTGGGGGCCACGGAATCGGCCAGGTCCACCACGAACTTGGCGAACTGCTTCACATTAATGATGTATTTGGGGTCGTCCGAGTCCGCATTGATGATCTTGGTGCAGCGAGCTACCTGCAGAGGCTGCTCGTTCTGCAGGATCTGCTTGTCCGCAGCCAGATCCCAGAGTGCGGGCGGCGCGAGTCCCGTGTCGCTCTCCTTGATCCCGGTCAGCTCATTGACCTGCTTCACCGCCTTCTGGATGTCCTCTTCGATAGTCTTTATAGACTTGTGGTACTGGCTCTGGCCATACGTCTTCAGTAGCTCGATGTCGCCCTCATCCAGGGACTTGATCTCCTTATCCTCCTTCTCATCGTGCTTCACCTTGCGCTGGTCGTCTCCCAGATAGTCCGGCATCTTGCTTAGTTGCGGATTAGTATGTTTTCAACGGTGAAAATTAAGTCCAAGCTATGTTTTTCTTTTGTTTTACGGGAATGACTAAACAATTTGGCAAAACGCTCTGTCAAATAGTGCTGTCACAGCCTCGATGGCACTATCGATATAAGCGTTGACCGGCACTATCGATTGAATTTAGACTATCGCAATATTAAATTGGGCGCCACAAGGAAGCCTTTTGAAGCTATTTTTAGAAACACACGTTTCTTTTGAGATTCAAATACTTAGTATACAATAAACCCTATATTTCATTTTAAGAAACAATCGTTTTAGCTATCGGAACTATCGCATATATGCCTGCACTGTGAGAGCAACTTTCCAACACTGTCAACTTAATGTTAATCAAAAACCGGGATAATTTCTAAGCCAATCTTAACCAGCTGTTGGACTCACCTTCGTCGCTGGGCGAACCTTGTGCTCCTTCGTAGAACTGTCTGGCTGCCCTACTCGTTGACGGCTGGTCGTCAACAGCGCCAGAAGCGTTAACCGCTGCGACCAGAAGACGCTCGTCCAGCATTTGGCGCGCATCCTCTAGGGGATTTCGTTCTGGAGCTGGTTCCCTCTCTATATTGTGCCTGGGACTGTTGTTGCCACTTTTGTGGACGGCGGGCAAGGCGTCGGGACCTCCGTTGCCCAGGAGAACGTTGTGCACTGTGACTGGAATTCGGATGACGCGATGCGCATGGATCTCGTTCTCGCGGTCAATCTTGTTAAGCCGCTTGATGTCTGCCGCGGTGCAGTGAAACCGCAGGGCTAACGCCTGCAGGGTATCGCCCTCTTGGACCTTTACCTCCAGCGTGTTTTCAAAACGTCCCAACCTGGCATGGCCGTTGGGTCTCCGGGCCAGTGGCAACAGGTCGACGAACTCATCGTCGTCGTAGGCGGGACGGGCGAAGATGTCCTCCACGTCGTCGGGATTGACGTTCTCCAGATTGTTATGCTGCGGGCGCCTTTAAAAGAAAACACTTGTCAAGTTCCTCTCACTTTTAACTCGCCTTGTAGCAATTTAAAAGCAATAGCAACAGTCGAGTTGGCGTTGACTCTTACGCATTGCGTCGCATTGTTCTCCCGTCTGCGATGAGCGGAGTTTCCGTGTGAGCGCTCGGATATCACCTCAGTCGATGCTGCAGGTGGTCTTTGTTGTGCAGCGAAGGCAATTAATTAACGCAATTAGATTATTTACGTGTAAACTTGGTCTCAGTCATCAAAAAACAACAACAACCAGTCGAAAAGCTCAGTCACAGATGATGAAAATATCGATAGCCCAAATCGATAGCTGTTTACACAGCTGTTTATTTTTTATTTTTGTCGATTGTTCGGAATACGAGAATCAAAACAAAAGTAAAAATAATGCAACTTGATTTAAACAGAATTTAATAGACTTGTGTTAATATTTGTTTATACAACTCCGAATTTGGTTCCACGTTCAATTTGATTTCCTTAACGTTTTTCAACGTGTTGCTGTTCCTAAACGAATTTAAGAAAATTAAGAATCCAACGGGCTTCTGAATAATCATCGATCGTACGACCTATCGAATCAATCGATAGTAGATGAATCGATTGTGTGACAGTCCAACTCGTTTTATTTATTTATTTTCGAAATGTCTTTATTTGCGTTTTTGAAGAGCCGCACAGTGTTCTGGATTAGTGTAACTGGAACCGCAGTGGGTGTGGCTTGTGGGATAAAGTAGGTTTTCATCCCTCCAAACGAGAAGTCAAGGTTTTAACATTAATCAACTTTCCAGAGATCTTATGCAAGGCGGCAAGTTTACCAAAGAAACGGACGAAACCGGCAAAGTGTTCATTGTCACGGGCGCAAATACTGGAATTGGCAAGGAGACGGTACGAGAGGTTGCGAGGCGCGGAGGAACCGTCTATATGGCTTGCCGAGACTTAAAGAAATGTGAAGAGGTACGCTCTATAGTCTAAATGGACGTTGCTCCTAGAAAGGCGATATAACGAACCCATCTTCCTCCAGGCCCGGGAGGAAATTGTTCTGGAAACAAAAACAAATACGTATACTGCAGGGAATGTGATCTCGCCTCCCAGGATTCCATCCGACACTTTGCCGCAGCGTGAGTCACTGATAACTTAAAAAAACATATCCATCAACCGTTTTTTTATATCTACAGCTTCAAACGGGAGCAGCAACACCTTAACGTCCTCATCAATAATGCCGGTGTTATGCGCTGTCCACGATCCCTGACGGTGGATGGTATTGAGTTGCAGCTAGGCGTCAATCACATGGGCCACTTCCTGCTCACGAACTTGCTATTGGACCTACTTAAAGTATAACTTCTACAAAAATACCATAGCCTGATAATTTATCCATATTTCCGCAGAAATCAGCCCCCAGCCGTATTGTGAATGTGTCCAGTCTCGCGCACACTCGCGGCGAAATCAACACTGGGGACCTAAACAGCGACAAGACCTACGACGAAGGCAAGGCCTACAGTCAGAGTAAGTTAGCCAACGTCCTGTTCACCCGGGAGTTGGCCAAGCGATTGGAGGGTACTAAGGTGACGACTAACGCACTACATCCGGGTGTAGTGGATACGGAGATTATAAGGCACATGGGCTTTTTCAATAACTTCTTTGCTGGGTAGGTAGCTTCCCTTTACTGCCTCAGTCCACTGTTTACTTAAATACCTCTCTACTGCAGGCTATTTGTGAAGCCCCTGTTTTGGCCTTTTGTTAAGACTCCCAAGAATGGTGCCCAGACCACCTTGTATGTGGCCCTAGAACCGGAATTGGAGAAGGTGACGGGGCAATACTTCAGCGACTGTAAGATTAAGGAAATGGCACCGGCTGCCACAGATTCACAAACAGCGAAGTGGCTCTGGGCGGTTAGTGAAAAGTGGACAAAGCCTATGGTAATCAAAGTGGACTCAACCGTATAGTTTTGGGCTTATCAAAGACTTTACATTACTTCGCATAAATCTATAGTTTTCTACAGTTAACAAATGATTGTTTTTACTTTATTGCGGTTATGTTAACTTGTCTAACAGCAGTTAGCCGGCCAAATGCTGTTGACAGCAAGTGGTTCAAATGTGTACGTTCGTATGTGCAATGCGAAACCGGTTGGTGGGCAAATTCTACATCATTTGTTTAAAATAGATATGTATATCCATTACATTTTTAACCTGAGCCTTCGGTCCAAAAGTTTGGGTTCATTTGTTTCATTTGGAAACAGTGAAATGCCCGTGACGGTGACTCGCTTTGCTGGCTCTTGGCGAAATAATCTATGCTAAATGTGCTGAAGAGCTGTGTTCAGATTACGGACTGCCCATAGCTACCCCCGTACTATCAGTTTTATCAGTTGTCGTGCAGCAATCGCATTGGAAATCACTTATTAGCCAACAAAATTTCGGGCGCCGACGCATTCAAGAAAGAGCCACGAATTGGATCGGGCCGGAGCGCTGCTTAGCTCAATATGGAAATAATAGTCAATTTTCTTCAAAAAGTTGCCCCAACGCTACTTACACATGGCATTCTCGGCATTATCGCGTTCTGTGTGAGGTGAGTAGTAAGACGTCGATTTAAAATGTAACGCTGAAAAAGCGTTATCATCGACGTACGCCAGTGATGACAACGTTCTTAGTAGTAATCATTGATTAACTGGCGTAATTTTACCGCGATTCAGGCTGTATATGCAGGGGGGAAAGTTCAAGAAACAAACCGATGAGACGGGAAAAGTGGCCATCGTTACAGGAGGAAATACGGGTCTTGGAAAGGAAACTGTGATGGAGTTGGCCAGGAGAGGAGCTACCGTTTACATGGCGTGTCGGGATAAGGATAAAGGTGAAAAGGCCCGACGGGAGATCGTCAAAAAAACGGGGAACTCGAACGTTTTCTCTCGGGAATGCGACTTGTCCTCTCAGGATTCCATTCGAGAATTCGTCAAAGGGTGAGTCACACTTTAAAATCAATTTAAAACCATAAAACTGATAAGTTTTTGACCAACAGCTTTAAGAAAGAGCAAAGGGAACTGCACATCCTGATCAATAACGCCGGTGTCTTTTGGGTGCCGCACAGCCTCACGAAGGAAGGTTTCGAAATGCACCTAGGAGTAAACCACATTGGTCACTTTCTGCTCACCCACTTGCTGCTGGATGTGCTAAAGAGATCAGCCCCTAGTCGGGTGATCGTAGTGTCCAGCAAGGCGCACGAACGCGGACAGATCCAATCGGAGGATATAAATAGTAATAAATCTTACGACGAGGGAGTGGCTTACTGCCAAAGCAAACTGGCTAATATACTGTTTGCCCGAGAATTGGCTCAACGACTAGATGGAACAGGAGTCACGGTTAATGCCATCAATCCAGGAATTGCAGACACGGAGATTGCTAGAAATGTGATATTTTTCCAAACCAAGTTTGCTCAGTATGTGGTAGAGTGTGTCCTCTTCAAAAAGTTTTCTCAAATACGGGATGAACTAATTGTCTGTGTGTTTTCAGAACCATCCTGAGGCCGCTGCTCTGGTCCCTGATGAAAACACCAAGGAACGGGGCACAGACTACTCTGTTTGCCGCATTAGATCCCGATCTCGAAACAGTAACCGGTCAATACTTCAGCGATTGCAAGCCGGCCCCATTGGCCCCAGCTGCCCTGGACGATCAGATGGGCCAGTGGTTGTGGGCCAAAACCGAGAAATGGACTGGCATTCCACTCTGATTCGGGCCGGGAGGGTAGTATTACACAGCTAGTCGCTATTAAAGCCAAATTGTCACTCTTAGTTATAAAAAAAAGCAAATACTGGAATAGTTGTTGTACTTATAGTTTAGTAAAGTGGGACCATAAAATATCATTGGTAGCGATAAAGACTAGTGACTAGTGAAATGAAAAATGAATTGGTTTTATGAAAAGCCATAAAATAATTAACTTACCTATAATCACTTATTGGTATTGCGGAGTCTTTTACTGAGTGATTCAATCATTTTCTTAACGATAATTACTTCGTCTGGCATCTGCCGCTGCTTCTGTTCCACTATTAGATCAACAACTATAATGGTTTTAATGAGACGCCGTTCCTGATCTTTGGCCTGATAAAAACGAGTCTCTAAAATATATACTTGGCTCCTAATTGTAACCATCATAAAACCCTCCGACCTTACAGCTCCTACCCTGTTGTTATACCGGTCTGTGAGGAATTATATGTCTTTTATAGTGGTTATTATACAAATATAGAAAAAAACCAAGTGGTTCGACTTGCTAGTCGACACTTTGTGCTGGAAGTAATCGGAGCGAACAAAATGAGTGAAATTCGAAAACGTTTGTTGCGCCCGTTGGTATATGGACCAGCTCTATCCGCCGTGGGAATTTACCTGCTCAGGTGAATATACTTGGCAGACTTTGAGCAATGGTTCAAGCTCTTTTGGCCTAGGCGCCATATGCAGGGAGGACAGTTTACCAAGAAAACGAATGAGACAGGACGTGTGGCAATTGTGACCGGATGTAATACGGGTATCGGGAAGGAGACTGTACTGGAGTTGGCTCGCCGAGGAGCAACCATATATATGGCATGTCGCGATATGCAAAAGTGCGAGCAGGCCCGCAAGGACATAATTGTAGCCACTAAAAACCCGAATGTGTTTGCACGCGAATTGGATCTATCTTCCATGGAATCCATTAGGAAATTCGCAGCCGGGTTAGTAGTCTCATAGTTTACTTAATTGAGAATTGTATATATATATTTATTATAATTGCTAAGGTTCAAAAAAGAGCAAAAGAAACTGCACATACTTATTAACAATGCCGGCATTATGGACTGTCCCAAGATGCTCACACAGGATGGCTTTGAAATGCAAATTGGAGTAAATCACATGGGCCACTTCCTGCTCACACTCCTGCTCCTGGATGTGCTCAAGAGTTCTGCGCCCAGTCGAATTGTGGTCCTGTCCAGTATTGCCCACCGTTTTGGAACAATCAACCAAGATGATCTCAACAGCGTAGAGTCCTATGACCGAAAAAAGGCCTATTGCCAGAGCAAGTTGGCCAACATTATGTTTACCCGGGAGCTGTCCAATCGTCTGCGTGGAACCCGAGTCACGGTAAACGCTTTGCATCCAGGTGTCGTCAACACCGAGCTCTTTCGAAACACGTTCTTCTTGCGAACCAAACTTGGAAAGTAAGTTTTATCTGGGCTTGTATTTTTTGACTTTAACTATTGAATAATTCCAGATTACTCATTGCACCGATCATTTGGATTTTTGTAAAGACTATACGAAGTGGAGCTCAGACATCTCTATATGTAGCTCTGGATCCTATTCTCAAAGAGGTCTCCGGACAATACTTTAGCGACTGCAGACCCAAAAAAGTGGGGGCCGCTGCCCTGGACGATAATGCTGCCAAATTTCTTTGGACAGAGAGCGAAAAGTGGACGGGTGTGCACCTTTAAGCTACATTTTGTAATTTGAACTTTTCACCTTACTTGGTATTTAATAAAATCTTAAATGTTATTAGCAAGCGCTCGACAAAGTCCGCAGTACAACTATTAGAACATATTATGAACATTTTGTGCGAGAAGCAATAATTTGTGTGAGTTAATATGTTCATGGCTTTAAATAAATCCCATAATATTTTGCCGTGCTTCCGATAGACTGACAATAATAATCTAACTTTTTCTTTATACGCTCTCTTAAGTAAACAAATACTTTTACTCTTAACTTAGATCCCCATGCTGGGTCTTTCACATAAAAAGAGCGAGGTCTTCACATGGGTTTCCTTATTAAAAGATAATTGTTCAGAAGTTTTTGTATTGGTTAAGAGTAGTCATGCTACTCTTTATATTCAATAATTTACTCAGTCGTATTGCTCTTCAACTTTTAAAGGGAAATAAAACTTATCACAGTGACTTGCGGTTTATACCTAGCAAAAAACATTTGTACATAAAACGAGAACTGAGCCGTTACTGGCTTATAATGAAGCAAAACTCGCCATTAAACACACCAAAAAGTCCTAAACAAATATTAAAAAATATGTTTTATATGTCCGATAATTATTTTGCCAGCGACACTAGGAGCAGTTCTTTACTATGTGAAGTTGTTATAATTATTAAAGCTAATATCTAATTGATATTCCTTTTGCTTCAGGCAACAAGATGCACACCGATGAAACGGGTAAGGTATTTGTTGTTACCGGATCAAATACCAGAATTGGAAAGGAGACAGCCCGGGACAGCCCCAGTTGCCTTTCATAAAGCGACTTTCAGTTGCAGTTAAGTTCAATTAGTATACTATGGAAATATATTTCCATTTCAGTTAATTACATATCAAAAGATATTAAAATTATTTCGGAAAAAGATTGCTATTCAGGGAATACATAAGTCGAAATTTTGAATCTATCATAACTAAGCCAAAAATGCATTAATTTCAATTCGGAAAGCCTTTCTGTGTTAGTTTTTACAGCGCTAACAAGTCTGCATACTTCGTTTTAAGAGTTAGAAAATTCAATTTTTTGTCGAATTTTGCAAATTTTAATGATGTAACCCCTTATAAAAATTTCAAATTTTCGACAAATTTTGAAAATTGTATTTTTCGTTCAGACACGGCTCGATGGACTCGCCTGTTAATGCTGATCACAAATATATATGATTTATGGGGTCGGAAATGTCTCCTTCACTGCGTTACAGGCTTCTGACTGAAAGTAAAATACCATTTTTGAGACAATATTTATCACTACTTTATGATAATTTTTTCTACAAATCAAAGTTTAACAAATTCATCAAAAATGCATTAATTTTAAATCGGAAAGCTTTTCTGTGTTCGTTATTATTAGGTTAACAAATCTGCATACTCAATTTTTAATTTTAAAAACTTAAGTGACTCAAATTTTATTTCCATTCTGTCAGCCAATATTTATCTATATTTTTATATGACAATTTTTTCTACAAATGAAAGTTTAAAAAACTCATAACTAAGCCAAAAATGTATTAAATTTAATTCGGATAGCTTTACTTTTTAAAGCGCTAACAAATCTGCATACCTTGTTTTAAAATTAAATTCGATTTTTTGTCAAGTTTTGAAAATTGTAACTATGTAATTTTAATAGTACATTTTAATAGTATTTTAATTTTGGTTTGGTTGATGTGTGCGTGTAGGTTTGTATCAGCTTTTCTGATTTATGAATAAGTTGGGAGAAGTTCTCTTGAAGTCTATCGAATTTGGGAGTGCATGGCGTATACGCAATCTCTTACTCCACTAGTTGTATGTATATATTTGTACTTCGTATTCCCCTCAACATGTATCCATATATTGAATTAACATTGGATTCTAAATGATCTAAAGAAAACAACAACCGAAACATAGTACATTACTATTAATCAGGGGTCTTAAATATATAATATAGTTTGATCTAACATATGACATAAGCGTGTTGGTGGAATCTTCTAATTTTGTACAGTAATAGTATCTCATTTGGTATACGTATATAACAAATACACATAACAAATACCTACAGCTAAATTGCTTAACAAGCTTCGGTTGGCCCAGTTCGATTCGTTCTCTTAAAATCGATTCGGGTAGGAGGCCATGTCGTATACGTGATATTTTCGAAATACGTTTGGTTCGCTGGCTTCTCTTCGTTTCAAAATCATTTCGGCTCTTTCTTCTGGTAGTTTCGAATGGCATTCATGGTGAGTTAGCGTTTTTGAGCATGTCGTGTATTCCCTGACAGATAACGCCCAAACGTATTTAAGCGACTGCTGGAGCCGGTTTTACTTTTATTCTATTTGAGAACACTCAATTGTAAACAACGGCAGGCAAACCAAAATATACGAATACAAAATGTGTAGTTTATCTAGTTGCTTGTGTTGCCCCCTAATTTTCTGGCCGGCTGTCATTGGTGCGGCTATGTATTTGTTGAGGTACAGTAACAATGATGAATGTTATCATGAGTAATAAATAATGACTCGCAAATATATATGGAAATTGTTTCTTACATCGCATGGATTACTTATCCTTATGATTTACTTTTAGAAAATACATGCAGGGCGGACAGTTCACTAAGCAGACCAATGAAACCGGAAAGGTGTTCATTGTCACGGGAGCCAACACAGGAATCGGCAAGGAGACAGTCCTGGAAATAGCGAAGCGCGGCGGAACCGTCTACATGGCCTGCAGGGATATGAACCGGTGTAATAGAGCGCGCGATGAGATCATCAAGGAAACTAACAACCAGAATATATTCTCCCGCGAATTGGATTTGAGTTCCTTTGATTCCATTCGGAAATTCGCTGCTGGGTAAGCTAGTTTTTCTTAACGATAATTCAATTAAATACTACAACTTAAATTTCAATAAAACAGATTCAAGCGCGAGCAGGATAAGCTCCATGTCCTCATTAACAACGCTGGCGTAATGCACTGTCCGAAATCTCTGACCAAGGATGGCATCGAAACGCAGCTTGGTGTTAATCACGTGGGTCACTTCCTGCTCACCCATTTGCTGCTGGACGTGTTGAAGGTATTGTGAAATTGTTCGAGTGCCATTAGCCACATTACGAAACTGAATCTCTTTGCAGAAAACTGCTCCGAGTCGCATCGTCAATGTTTCCAGCTTGGCCCACACACAGGGATCCATTAATGTTAGTGACCTGAACAGCGAGAAGTCCTACAGTAGAATCGGGGCTTATAGCCAGAGCAAATTGGCCAACATTCTGTTTACCCGGGAGTTGGCCAAGCGATTGGAGGGCACCGGGGTCACGGTCAACTCCCTGCATCCCGGCGCAGTGGACACTGAGCTCCTGAGAAATTGGGGCTTCTTGCAGAATGACATCGCACAGTAAGTGAAATGCAAGCAACTCCGTGAAATGATTAATAAATATTGGATTTTGTTAGGCTATTGATCAAACCGCTCCTTTGGACGCTTTTCAAGACGGCTAAGTCTGGAGCACAGACTTCCTTGTATGCCGCCCTGGATCCTGATTTGAAGAAGGTCTCTGGTCTCTACTTCAGCGACTGTCAGGCCAAGGACGTGTCTCCAGCTGCCAAGGATGACAAAACGGCCAAGTTCTTGTGGGCTGAAAGCGAGAAATGGACTGGTGTGGGCACATCTAAGGTGGATTAATTAAGCATTGCTTTGTATTTAACGCCATTTCATTATTTATTTTTCCAATCATTTTTACAATAAAATTAAATGGTCAAAATGTAACTATTATTTCCGCCTTTAGCACAGCTAATTTTCTTCCAAGAATGGTTTAAATATAGTTTTGTTTTGGGCCTTCTGTGTTATCTTCACAAACTTAAGAGTGGATCAGTTAAACTTTTACTCTGTTATTCTAAGTGAATTTAGTATATGTTCTATATGTGTTCTCTCTTAGGCCTTCCAAAGAAAGAGCTTTTGTTCTCTTACCCTATACATACTTACTTTTTACTAAAAGAGCGCTATCTCTGTGGCTCTCACATATACTCATTCAGCTATTCTGTGTTTGAGGTGGTCGTAGTAGCATTCAGAACTATATCAACAGCTGCTTGGACTGCTTTACTCGCATTCTACGAGGCAACTTCCAGCTGACACCACCCAAAAGACTGACAACAAAGAAAATTCCTACAATTTAAAATGTGCATTTTCATCGACTGTTTGCTGAGCCCGATAATTCTGTGGCCGGCTCTTATTGGTGCGGCTATCTATTTCTTGAAGTAAGTCAATTATAATACGCATAATGACTTGTTCATGTTTGTTATGAAATTCGCTATGACGAGTCCATGACTCTTCAGATGTAGTGTCCGATTTGCCGATACCATGCTAAAGAAGCGTGATTTTTGATTACAGGCAATACATGCAGGGCGGCCAGTTCACCAGGGAGACCGATGAGACCGGAAAAGTATTCATTGTCACGGGAGCCAACACCGGAATCGGCAAGGAGACCGTCCTGGAGATCGCAAGGCGCGGAGGAACCGTCTATATGGCTTGCAGGGATCTAGGCCGGTGTAACAAGGCCCGTGATGAGATTATCAAGGAGACGAATAACCAGAACATCTTCTCACGTCAGTTGGATTTGTCATCCCTTGACTCTGTTCGGCAATTTGTTGCCGGGTAAGTCACCCTGAGAACCCTTTTACGCGTTATCAGTTTTAAACCTAAAGCCCTTTGATTAGCTTCAAGAAAGAGCAGCAGAAACTCGATGTCCTGATCAATAATGCCGGCGTAATGCGCTGCCCGAAGATGTTGACCAAGGACGGTTTCGAATTGCAGTTGGGTGTCAACCACATTGGTCACTTCCTGTTGACCAACCTGTTGCTGGATGTGCTTAAGGTAAGGGAGTGAGAGAGTATATAAGTCAAGTTCATTCCATTACAATCTGATAAATATCACAGAAATCGTCTCCCAGTCGCATTGTGGTCGTCTCCAGCCTGGCACATACCCGTGGAACCATCAACGTCCACGACTTGAACAGCGAGAAGTCGTATGATGAGGGCGCTGCGTATAGTCAGAGCAAGTTGGCCAATGTGCTGTTCACCCGGGAATTGGCCAAGCGCTTGGAGGGAACAGGAGTTACTGTAAACTCCCTGCATCCAGGTGTTGTGGACACGGAACTGGCGAGGAATTGGGCCTTCTTCCAGACGAACTTTGTGCAGTAAGTGGAATGTGAATCAGAAAAAAAATCAACGCTAATATTCCCAATTTTAGATACTTCTTAAAGCCACTGATTTGGCCGCTCTTGAAGACACCGAAGAGTGGGGCGCAGACCTCGATATATGCAGCACTCGATCCTGAACTGAAGGATGTTACTGGTCTCTATTTTAGCGATTGCAAACAGAAGGAAGTGGCCCCAGCTGCCAAGGACAACAAATTCGCAAAGTTCCTGTGGGAGGAGAGCGAGAAGTGGACAGGCTTGCAAACCCCCAAAAAAGATATGACGTCCAAATAGGTTTAGAACAACCGGTTTATTCAACACTAAAACTAGTTACTTTTCCACGAGTAGATTAATTTAATAAATTCATTTAAATACATACATAGATACCTAGCTTTTATAAAGAGCCTTTCTGTTAGTTTCCATTTCGGCAAAAGTTTGCTATTCTGGGAATCCTTCGAAATTGGAATTTAATTTCAATTCAGAAAGTTATTCTGTGCTAGTTTATATAGAGCTAACAAATCTGCGTACTTCGTTTTAAAATTTCAAAAATTAAATTTGCCAAATTTTGAAAAAGACAAAAATTTACTAATTTTAATTCGGAAAGCTTTTCTGTGTTCGTTAGCCCCTATAAAAGTTGTGACTTAAGTGACTAAAATTTTATTACCAATCTGTCAGCCAATATTTATCTATATTTTTATATGACATTTTTTTCTACAAATCAAAAACTAAAAAGCGCATAAATAAGCCAAAAATTCATTAATATCAATTCGTGTTAGTTTCGTGTTTCTGTGTTAGTTTTTACAGCGCTAACAAGTCTGCATACTTCGTTTTAAGAGTTAGAAAATTCAATTTTTTGTCGAATTTTGCAAATTTTAATGATGTAACCCCTTATAAAAATTTCAAATTTTCAACAAATTTTGAAAATTGTATTTTTCGTTCAGACATGGCTCGATGGACTCGCCTGTTAATGCTGATCACAAATATATATGATTTATGGGGTCGGAAATGTCTCCTTCACTGCGTTACAGGCTTCTGACTAAAAGTAAAATACCATTTTTGAGACAATATTTATCACTATTTTATGATAATTTTTTTCTACTAATCAAAGTTTAAAAAATGCATTACTAAGTCAAAAATGCATTAATTTTAGTTCGGAAAGCTTTTCTGTGTTCGTTATTATTAGGTTAACAAATCTGCATACTTAATTTTTAATTTAAAAAACTTAAGTGACTGAAATTTTATTACCAATCTGTCAGCCAATATTTATCTATATTTTTATATGACATTTTTTTCTACAAATCAAAAACTAAAAAGCGCATAAATAAGCCAAAAATTCATTAATTTCAATTCGTGTTAGTTTCGTATTTCTGTGTTAGTTTTTACAGCGCTAACAAGTCTGCATACTTCGTTTTAAGAGTTAGAAAATTCAATTTTTTGTCGAATTTTGCAAATTTTAATGATGTAACCCCTTATAAAAATTTCAAATTTTCGACAAATTTTGAAAATTGTATTTTTCGTTCAGACATGGCTCGATGGACTCGCCTGTTAATGCTGATCACAAATATATATGATTTATGGGGTCGGAAATGTCTCCTTCACTGCGTTACAGGCTTCTGACTAAAAGTAAAATACCATTTTTGAGACAATATTTATCACTATTTTATGATAATTTTTTTCTACTAATCAAAGTTTAAAAAATGCATTACTAAGTCAAAAATGCATTAATTTTAGTTCGGAAAGCTTTTCTATGTTCGTTATTATTAGGTTAACAAATCTACATACTTAATTTTTAATTTAAAAAACTTAAGTGACTGAAATTTTATTACAAATCTGTCAGCCAATATTTATCTATATTTTTATATGACATTTTTTTTTACAAATCAAAAACTAAAAAACGCATAACTAAGCCAAAAATTCATTAATTTCAATTCGGAAAGCCTTTCTGTGTTAGTTTTTACAGCGCTAACAAGTCTGCATACTTCGTTTTAAGATTTAGAAAATTCAATTTTTTGTCGAATTTTGCAAATTTTAATGATGTAACCCCTTATAAAAATTTCAAATTTTCGACAAATTTTGAAAATTGTATTTTTCGTTCAGACATGGCTCGATGGACTCGCCTGTTAATGCTGATCACAAATATATATGATTTATGGGGTCGGAAATGTCTCCTTCACTGCGTTACAGGCTTCTGACTAAAAGTAAAATACCATTTTTGAGACAATATTTATCACTATTTTATGATAATTTTTTTCTACTAATCAAAGTTTAAAAAATGCATTACTAAGTCAAAAATGCATTAATTTTAGTTCGGAAACCTGTTCTGTGTTCGTTATTATTAGGTTAACAAATCTGCATACTTAATTTTTAATTTAAAAAACTTAAGTGACTGAAATTTTATTACCAATCTGTCTGCCAAGATTTATCTATATTTTATATGACATTTTTTCTACAAATCGAAGTTTAAAAAACTCATAATTATGCCAAAAATTCATTCATTTTAATTCGGAAAGCTTTTCTATGTTCGTTATTATTAGGTTAACAAATCTGCATACTTATTTTTTAATTTAAAAAACTTAAGTGACTGAAATTTTATTACCAATCTGTCAGCCAATATTTATCTATATTTTTATATGACATTTTTTTCTACAAATCAAAAACTAAAAACTCATAACTAAGCCAAAAATTCATTAATTTCAATTCGGAAAGCCTTTCTGTGTTAGTTTTTACAGCGCTAACAAATCTGCATACTTCGTTTTAAGAGTTAGAAAATTTAATTTTTTGTCGAATTTTGCAAATTTTAATGATGTAACCCCTTATAAAAATTTCAAATTTTCGACAAATTTTGAAAATTGTATTTTTCGTTCAGACATGGCTCGATGGACTCGCCTGTTAATGCTGATCACAAATATATATGATTTATGGGGTCGGAAATGTCTCCTTCACTGCGTTACAGGCTTCTGACTAAAAGTAAAATACCATTTTTGAGACAATATTTATCACTATTTTATGATAATTTTTTTGTACTAATCAAAGTTTAAAAAATGCATTACTAAGTCAAAAATGCATTAATTTTAGTTCGGAAAGCTTTTCTGTGTTCGTTATTATTAGGTTAACAAACCTGCATACTTAATTTTTAATTTAAAAAACTTAAGTGACTGAAATTTTATTACCAATCTGTCAGCCAATATTTATCTATATTTTTATATGACATTTTTTTCTACAAATCAAAAACTAAAAAGCGCATAAATAAGCCAAAAATTCATTAATTTCAATTCGTGTTAGTTTCGTATTTCTGTGTTAGTTTTTACAGCGCTAACAAGTCTGCATACTTCGTTTTAAGAGTTAGAAAATTCAATTTTTTGTCGAATTTTGCAAATTTTAATGATGTAACCCCTTATAAAAATTTCAAATTTTCGACAAATTTTGAAAATTGTATTTTTCGTTCAGACATGGCTCGATGGACTCGCCTGTTAATGCTGATCACAAATATATATGATTTATGGGGTCGGAAATGTCTCCTTCACTGCGTTACAGGCTTCTGACTAAAAGTAAAATACCATTTTTGAGACAATATTTATCACTATTTTATGATAATTTTTTTCTACTAATCAAAGTTTAAAAAATGCATTACTAAGTCAAAAATGCATTAATTTTAGTTCGGAAAGCTTTTCTATGTTCGTTATTATTAGGTTAACAAATCTACATACTTAATTTTTAATTTAAAAAACTTAAGTGACTGAAATTTTATTACAAATCTGTCAGCCAATATTTATCTATATTTTTATATGACATTTTTTTTTACAAATCAAAAACTAAAAAACGCTAACTAAGCCAAAAATTCATTAATTTCAATTCGGAAAGCCTTTCTGTGTTAGTTTTTACAGCGCTAACAAGTCTGCATACTTCGTTTTAAGATTTAGAAAATTCAATTTTTTGTCGAATTTTGCAAATTTTAATGATGTAACCCCTTATAAAAATTTCAAATTTTCGACAAATTTTGAAAATTGTATTTTTCGTTCAGACATGGCTCGATGGACTCGCCTGTTAATGCTGATCACAAATATATATGATTTATGGGGTCGGAAATGTCTCCTTCACTGCGTTACAGGCTTCTGACTAAAAGTAAAATACCATTTTTGAGACAATATTTATCACTATTTTATGATAATTTTTTCTACTAATCAAAGTTTAAAAAATGCATTACTAAGTCAAAAATGCATTAATTTTAGTTCGGAAAGCTTTTCTATGTTCGTTATTATTAGGTTAACAAATCTACATACTTAATTTTTAATTTAAAAAACTTAAGTGACTGAAATTTTATTACCAATCTGTCAGCCAATATTTATCTATATTTTTATATGACATTTTTTTCTACAAATCAAAAACTAAAAAACGCATAACTAAGCCAAAAATTCATTAATTTCAATTCGGAAAGCCTTTCTGTGTTAGTTTTTACAGCGCTAACAAGTCTGCATACTTCGTTTTAAGAGTTAGAAAATTCAATTTTTTGTCGAATTTTGCAAATTTTAATGATGTAACCCCTTATAAAAATTTCAAATTTTCGACAAATTTTGAAATTGTATTTTTCGTTCAGACATGGCTCGATGGACTCGCCTGTTAATGCTGATCACAAATATATATGATTTATGGGGTCGGAAATGTCTCCTTCACTGCGTTACAGGCTTCTGACTAAAAGTAAAATACCATTTTTGAGACAATATTTATCACTATTTTATGATAATTTTTTCTACTAATCAAAGTTTAAAAAATGCATTACTAAGTCAAAAATGCATTAATTTTAGTTCGGAAAGCTTTTCTGTGTTCGTTATTATTAGGTTAACAAATCTGCATACTTAATTTTTAATTTAAAAAACTTAAGTGACTGAAATTTTATTACCAATCTGTCAGCCAATATTTATCTATATTTTTATATGACATTTTTTTCTACAAATCAAAAACTAAAAACTCATAACTAAGCCAAAAATTCATTAATTTCAATTCGGAAAGCCTTTCTGTGTTAGTTTTTACAGCGCTAACAAATCTGCATACTTCGTTTTAAGAGTTAGAAAATTTAATTTTTTGTCGAATTTTGCAAATTTTAATGATGTAACCCCTTATAAAAATTTCAAATTTTCGACAAATTTTGAAAATTGTATTTTTCGTTCAGACATGGCTCGATGGACTCGCCTGTTAATGCTGATCACAAATATATATGATTTATGGGGTCGGAAATGTCTCCTTCACTGCGTTACAGGCTTCTGACTAAAAGTAAAATACCATTTTTGAGACAATATTTATCACTATTTTATGATAATTTTTTTGTACTAATCAAAGTTTAAAAAATGCATTACTAAGTCAAAAATGCATTAATTTTAGTTCGGA